ATATTCTTTTATTATCTGTGAATTGGGAAAGATAGTGGAGTGGTTTTCCACTACTTTCTCCATTGTTTTTGAATACAAATTGCTGATCAAAGTTAGAGAGCCCAATCTATCCTGTTGTTTAAACAATGGTGGGGAAGAAAAGATAGGTTCATGCTGTTCCAAAGAACAATTAGTGTTAAAGTGAATGCAAAAAGACTAGACCAGAATTGGAACTCAGCTCACCAACAACTATTACAGGTATTAGGAGACTCAAGTTACTCAACCCTTATACCCAGGACCAGGTTCAGACCTTAAGAGGCCCCTGGGATAAGAAAGTTTTGGCGCCCCCTTCATTAAATATCACATTGTAATGAAAAGATAATGACTTGAAGAGGACCCAAATACCCTGAAATTCTGAATTGTTTCAAATTAGTTTAATGGCGACGCATTAGATTTGAAAATAAACAAATCTGTTCTTATATCTTTAATTTTCAATTTTTAGTTTTATTAGTGGCCCAAGACTAGAGGGCTCCTTTATTCTTGGGGGTCCTGGGCTGCAGCCCATATGTAAATCCGGCAATGCTTTAACACCCAATATTTAGAGGCAACAGTCTCACACGTACACACAGAATAAATTTAACTTTACTACTAAAATATTTTTTTCATAAAGAAAAATTAACTTGAGTGAGGAGAGAACTTTTTTTTTTTTTTAAACTATATCTCATTCTTTAACGATAGAAAACGAAAAAACTTAAACAGCAGATCCTCACAAGATAAAACTTATCCAATATATTAAAAATCGTTGCAAAAAGCTAATTTGAAAATCCTATTGTTAAAATAGGTGATTTGAATTTCATATTTAATATAAAATTGCTTAAAAAAAAAATAAAAAAATAAAAATAATTGGGATCTTTTTCTCTTGAGAAATTCCTGTAGGAAAATTTAATACAAGACCTACATTCAACAGCAGAACAAAAAAAAGCATCAAATCTTAAAACGGCATCTTTTTTCATATTTACCATCATGAATGAAAAAAAAAAAAATTTACATTCCTACACTCAGACAAGTTACCAAAAAATAGGATAAAAATTTATCAAAAATGCTGACATTCCAAAAACAGGGATCAAGACCACTTCAAGGATTTGTCATTTCACAACAGTTGTGGAAATAACGGGGCTTTTCAGTAAAATCTGATACGATTAAAAAAAAGAAAAAAAAAAGAAAAGAAAAAAAAGAGAGATGTAAGTTAAAGTAGTAGTACTAAACAACAGAAGGAAGAGGGTTGCTAAAGAAAAAAGTCTATTTGGTTGTGTATAAAACAAATAAAAATAATAAATACTTTTAGAGTTTTTAATGTAAAGTCATCTGAAATTTGTCATTATTTTATCATCAGAATGATTTTTTTAATTAAAGCAATGAAGACGACTTTGAGAACTTCCATTTTTTATTGATCAAAAAAAATAAGAAAAAAAAGTTTTTTTTTCATCATAAAATAGGCTAAAAGTGCAAAGTTATAAATTGTGTTGATATTTTCCCAAATTTTACACACTGTACAAATAATCACAATTCATACACATTATTTTTTTTGAATGATAGAGTCTAGTAGCTTGTCTTGTTTTTTTCTTTTTTATAAAAAAAAAAAAAAAAAAAATAAAGAGAATTTTATAGGGGGAAAAAAGGGGCAATATTTTTAGCAGTACGACTTTCAGTTCTAATTTTTATTTATATCTTCAAAGTGCAATTTGTAGAAAATCATCACTGAACGCAGAAAGAAATTATCTTAAAAATTAATACGTTTAAAATGTAGGTGTCAAAGAACAAATTTAAATAAAATTAAAATATATATATTATTACCAATATAATGAAAGTGAAAGAAAATATGTTACCCGACCGCAAAAAGTGAATGTGCCAGACTCAAACAAGGCTTATTAGAACGAAAGTAAAAACTTGAAAATTGTAATTTTTAATTTTCGATCAATTACGTAAAGACTGAATATAATATTTTCAAAATAATTTTCCATTTCATTTCAGAATCTTGATTGAACATAAAAAGCCAAATTGCAGTATGAGTAAGTGATGAAAATTAGTCTAAATTTAATAATTTATTCTAAATTTGTCAAAAAAGTTTTGCTTATCTCACAAGTGTTCAATTTTTTTACTTTTTTGTTCCCGCAAATTTTAATTTGCCAAGCATATCACAATGATCACTGAAGAATTGATAAATCATAAATGATGACGATCCTACGATATAAATTCTGGGGCACTCACTGACAAATATCTATTTTCTGAAAGAGAAGTGTAAATGTCGTACACCTTGAACTATGAGAAAAGGTGAAATTAAATGAAAAATAGATGGCTGCTGGCAATTAAAACAGGCCAGTCTATCGAGTTGAGGGATTTGATAAATTTATTTTTTACACTATTATTTTTTGGATCACTGGTGGTTCGAATACCAAAAAAAGAACCATAGTAGTTGAAGTAGTTTTATATTTCTATTCAGTTTTTTTTTTAGTTATAACACTAAAGATATATAAAAACACATACACACAATACCAGCCCAGAAAACTACTAAAAGCCCCCTAACGATTTTTCGTCGAAGGTTTTGCTAACAGAGTGGTCACAAAAAGGGGGATTCATTTTTATTATGGATGGATACGCAAGTTAATTTGTGTCAGGCATATTCCATAGAGATATTTTCTTCCAGATAACCGTTTTGTTAATGTACAGAAAGAACTGTTCCAAGCCAAGAACAGTTTCAAGAAACTGATTTTCACTCAGTGATTCCGTTAAGCTTTTTTATGTAGATTTGTGTTGAACCAAAAATTCTACAATATAAGATGGTTAAGAAAAAAATAAAATAAAAGACTAGTTATGTTTTATTGAATTAATTAGTTGTTAAACATTAAACCTTATCTTGAGAGATTTTTAAACTTATTTTACATTTGACCGAAAAAAAATAAAAAAAATACATGTTTTGCAGTTTTACTTATGGTTATCATTTTTTAAATTGGTTTTTACTTTACAGGCTTTCCTTGCTTGTACGAATGGACATTGAACAGCATAAATTCTTTCTTGGAGATGTGTCAATCACACCAAGATTATGTTCCTATGATAATAATTGGATAAATTTCAATTTAAAACAAATATAAAAAATACTAAAAACATTCAGAGCTTCTTTCAATATTTCTCATGCACTCAGCACTTCCTGGGGGTGTATATATTTTATTTTCATTCATACATACACAATTTAAAAAACGGATATCTATTTTCTTGAACGTGTGCTTTAGCCACTTTTTTTCATTCAAGAGCGAAACCTTGGTTTTTTTTTTTTTTTTTTTTACTGAACTAGTAAGATTTTTTTATACTTAAAATTTGAATCTGTCAGACTATCAATTGAAATTCCTCGTCATTAAGTCAAAGTAATATTTAGACACATTAAAAGAAAAAGGAATCACTCACTTTGTGACCAATGAAATAATTTTTTTTTTTTTTTTGTTACTGTTACACAAAACAAGAAACTGGTCGAAAACACAACATATTTTTTTTTTAAGACGAAGAGCGATAAATTGTATTTCAAGTCCTAAATGGATGGCACGAACGAATGTTACACCGCTGTAAGTCTAAGAGGAAAGCAAATAAAATGACGTCAGGATAAAAATTTCATTCAATTCACCTGCGAAAATGAAATCAGATATTGAATACGACCAGCAAAATCGAGAGGTCTTCTTTTTAAAATGCGATAAAAATGCAGACAGCCTTTCTTAAAAGATGTGATTTGTTCTACTCTTTAGGTAAGACAATAATGAAAACGGCTTAAGAAAGCGTCAACAACATTATAGTTATTTTTTTTTATTTCTTTAATAAAACAGATGTGAGAGTAAATAATAATAATAATAATGAATGTCTTGATATTTCTACAACTACAAGTCAAAAGCAATATTACTTCCGGTCACAAGTAGTAGGCTCACTTTGACTGATAAATCTTAAAATAAAAAGATAATTAATGATAAATAATGTAAGCTTATTCATTATATAATTTCATCCATAGAATTCATTCATAACGGAAAGAGATGAGCTAGTATTATATACATAACGTACAGAGAGAGAGAGAGAAACAAAATAAATGTAATGCATAACACCAACACACACGCATATACCATAAGACATACAGACGATACGAATCTTTTTACCTTCTTTGGAAGTCGCAGTTTCGCCCCTGCAATTCTGATCAGATATTCGCAATTAATATGTAAAATGATTCACTGATTGTCAGAGTTTCGATCCTCAGTAAACAAACGAAGGTCCTTCCTAAACACGGCAGGGCATTAAATCATCAGAAATGTTTGTTCATTATGATGAGGGCCTTCGCCCGTGCCATCGTCCTCCATCATAAATTGGAGAATGTTGGGACGAAAAAGGAAGTACTTCCGGTTTCATGATAAATGGCGCGGAATTTAGTCGTCGCGTGGTTTTAGTCATCTTTCAAAAGTCATTTCCTTTTATTTTTTTTTTAATTACTTTCACTTATTTCTACTGTGTTATTTTATTCAGATGAGTTCGAAAACCTCTCGACAAACTACTAAATCTATTTAGATACTATCCAAAACGAAAAAAAGGCTGGAGTGCGTTTTTTTCTCCTTCAGCGAAAATTGGATGACTGGAAATGATGAACTGAAATACGTAGGAATAGTTTAAAAATATATATATATGTATGTATATATATATATATATATACTTATTTAAGTAATCAGTCATTTTAATTTAATAGAAAATGAAGTCTTTGAAATTAAAAATCAAAAAGAAAAAGGTGAAAATATATTAGGTAATCTAATCAGCTGATTATTATTATTATTCGGAGCTGATCATCGATTTCGTTTTGTTTATCATCATTATTTGTTGGTCATTTTTTTTTTTTCATTTTAGTGCACTTGACACACCAATGGAGAAATAATTGCTGAATTCTTTGTTCTAATTGGTACGACTTGATGGAAGAGGCTTAAATTTTTGACGTCAGAATAGTTATGGAAGAAAATAATGAGGCGTTGTTATCGGTACGACTATCGAACACCCGGGTCGCTTTGCAAGAATTGGAAAATGAGTTAAGATGTTGTGCCTGGTAATGTATTACTTTTTAGTTTTCTAATTTTAACAGGCATATAATTTGAAATCTATTTTTTATTGATAATCTTTGTTTCACTGTATCTTAGCCTTGTAAAGATTGGAACGAATGAATTAACGAATTATTTATTTACTCAACTGATAAATAAACGTATATGGAAGAAAGAATATTAATTAAAGATTCACAACTTATTTACTAAAAAATAAACAGAAAAATCGAAATTTTTTTTTCTTTTTACTCACGATGCAAATAAAATATTAAATAAAAATTACTGAAATTTTCCATTAGTCAAACAAAACACCTGATAATGTCCAATATTGTTTTTTTTTTGTTTTGTGATGATAACTAGAATGTTAAAATGCAGTTGCCATTTGTTGTAAATTAAGATTTTATTTTAAAAATAGTTTTCACAAAAGTCTGGCATAATGTTTATTTAAAAATAGGTTATATTTGCCGCGTGTAAATTTAGAAACTTATATGAACTACGATTCGCCGTCAAAGAAATTAGTACTTTTAAAACTCCTGTTTTCTTTTCATAACAAAAGTCAATATGCCATAAAAAGTGGCTTCTAAGGTTTTTATTAAAACTATTTTTTTTTAAATCTTATTTATTTAGTTATCTTTTTCTTTTCTTTTTTTTTCCAATGTTTGCAACACCGTTTTTCAAGTTTAATTTCGGTACAGTCGGTTGTGAAAATATTTAATTTCTATTTAGACAGAGGCAAAATTTTAGTGTGCTTTTCATTTTATCATTTTGTTTGAATGTTGAAAAATCTTTTTTACATGCCTAAATTTCCATATTTGAATAGATTCAACAAAAAGTAAATAAAAATAAACTCTTTGTGGGTGTGTCATTTAAAGGAAATAAAAAACTTCTTTTTTCTGTAAGAAAGACTGATTTGAATGAAATAATACTTCACTTTCACAAATGAATAGTTCATCTCTAGTCTGCACAGATATTTGAGAGAGGAGAAAAAAAATAACAACTTTGGCACTCAATGACTCGGATAGGAACAGGTTGTCAATACCCGAAAATGAAAATTGAAAATACGGAATGGGGGCTGGGATTTCTCAACTAAGTGGGACCGCGGACAGGTTCCCAATTTTGCTTAGGGGTAGTTTTTTTAACCAAGGGTTCACAGAGCCACATAGCTGAATTAAACCTGTTTGGTATTTTTGAGTGATATGAATTCATTATGTAACAGATTATCATTCAAGAATATTATGATACAACCAGTACAACTGTACAGTGTACAACATAACAATTCAATTTTATTTTGAATTTGATCGCCACAGACTTCCTTAAAAAAAACCCCGAAAAACGCATTAGATAACTTAAATTTAAAAAACAATGTTATACGAAGAACTTGAAGAATTTAAATTAGGTACCACGACTAATTTGCTAAGAAAAATTAGCATAAGTAAAGTAAATTTCAAAAAAATAAATCTTTCTTGCTTTAATTTTAATTTTATTCCAAGCTAATAGTTTTTAGTTTAATTCCCAATAAGCAAAATATTTTGGGTTGGTGTATTTCAAGCTGAATTTAAAATTGTGATTGGAACGTTTGCTTGTTTTAAAATCTACAAATTTGTCCATATTGACAGATTTGTCAACACAAAATTTCATTATTAAAAATATTTCAAAAATAAAATATATTTTTCTGAAACATTATTTGAGGAAAATTAGCTGATTTAAAGTTTACTTAATCTGAACTGAAGCAATTTATTACTTTTAGAGTTTAAAATATTGCAGTAAAGCATCTTTTAAATATAGAGCGGATGTTTTTCTGAAGTGTTGAGTGATATATTGGCAGCCATTTATTTAAGAGTGGCATAATTGAAAAATTATTTGAGGACACCTATTTTTTTTAACTACTCAATAATCTTAAAAATTTAAGAAAATTTTTTAAGCAATCTAATATTGAATTTTAGATGTTTTGTCTATAACCTTACTTACGAAGATACTTGTTGAGAAAATGTTACAAAATTACCAATAAATTTATTATTTCTCTTATTGTCTGATAGTGTGCATTGGAATCTGTATTTATGTCTGTACATACAAAAAACTCAAAATTCTTTTTAACATTGGAGGTTGTTGAATTGTGATGAGGTTTGTCATTTAGAATTAGTAATTAGTTTTAATTTAATAACGATATCACTTACCTGACAATTACTTGAGTTTTGCAAGAATTTCTAATTTGTTACCCAAAAAACACTAAATTTTTCTGTACAAATTTAAGATCATGCACTAACAAAAAAAAAAAAAGATTTTTAACCCAAATTTCTAAAGGATAAAAAAATAATTTTTACATTAAAAAGTCCTTTGATCTTTCCTCTTAAAAAAACAAAGTTTTTGACAATAATTTTTTTCTTTTTTGAATTATCATTTGGGCATTTTTTTAATGATGTAGTCTCTTTTTTTAACAAATTTTGGGAGGTACCTATTTAAATGTCTTCTCTAAAGTTAAATTTTGTTTTCATTTGACAGAATAGCATAATGCTAATCTGTAGTAAAAGAAAAACTAATTTTTGTATGTAAAAGCAAAAAAAAAGTTTTTAGGCATTTTTAAAACATTGGCATGTTAACACATCACTCATCCATCCAACATTATAGGAAAAAAATTTAAACAAATTTAAAAAAATCTCTTGAAATTCCAACATTTGTCCTAGACATGTCTTTCAAAGTCAGTTAGTAAATTTAATGATTAATGGCTTTTGTAAAATTAATTCTTACTTTTTATTTAAAACATAAAAAAAACGCACAAAGAAACAAAAAAAAAGACCCCCCCCAAAAAAAAAACAGAACATCAGCACTACAATAATCAAGAAATTGGTATTATATTTAACCATATATCACCAATATAAGAATATATTTTTTTTATTCTATATGCTTTTCTTAAACTTAGAATGAATAATTTTATTTTTGTATTACATTAGAAGTATAAAAAAGAATTACAAGTATTTAGCGTTAAATATTATGTGTAGAATTTTGCTTTGTCCAATCTGAAAGAAAATATGTTTTATTAAATTATGTAAGCACCAACTGTCAAAAAAATTTATTTTTTGAGTTTTATTGTAAGGTTTGATATGATTTTCCCATATGTTCACACTTGATATTGCATAAATCTTTCGCTGGAACAACATCTTTAGGGATTTATTTTTTATATAAAACTATATAAAAAAAAAAAAAAAAATTTAGGGAACACCCCATAAATTAAAAAGTACACACAAGATATCAAGTGTGTGTGTTTATGAAACATACCCACCCCAGTATTTCCACAATTTTTTAATAACCTATTTAGTATACATTTTATTCATTAATGAAAAAGTGCTGAACATTTCACTTGAATCGGATAATTCCCTGATTTTTGGTACATTTTAGAAACTGGGTAGTGTTTTGTTTTCTGTTTTTCAGAAAAAAAACATCGATTTTGGTGGTGCCTAGTGAAACTGATCTGTGGTCGTGTTTATCAAGAACATCTTTTAAAAATGCCAAATTTACATAGAATTTAAAAAAAAACATTGTTTCTCAAAATGGGACAAAAACATGTTCCATATCAGTTGATGCAGGCCATGTTTTTCAGCATCAAAATTGGCAGCACTAGGTAGGAATGAGACGAGCAAAACCTGTTAACCATTGGACTTGTTATCATACACATAATGATGAGCAAACTGGTCTTGTAGGCTAATAAGTAGTGAATTCATTCCTCACTTGATGTTCTATACATCTGACCTTGTGTCAACTAAGTCAAACCGAAATATTGCCAGGGTTTTAATAAAAACCATGACATATACAATGGATATATTTAAAAAATACTTAAGCTCTTAAATTGGGATTATGAGTTTATTGTTATGGATTGAGAGAGCAGCTCACCAATAAAGTGATGTTGGAATATGCAAATATATAAAACCGAATAAACTCCTCATGACACCCAGTCTAATAAGTGTATACCAGTTACATGCACCATGGCCAAATGTGAATGATATGGTGACAGGTTTTTATAAAAACTGCATAAACTTGCAGGTGAGGATCTAGCTTGTAGTATTTTCAGGTTGGTTAACAGAGTATCTAAATGTCACTTTGGCTGCCTCATGATCCAAAATTAAAAAACTAAAAAAGAACCCTCTCAACACCCTATTATGATGCTCTCCTCAATACTCCTATGAACAGATACCTATTGCATCATACCCTTGAGAACATTCCCAAATGGTTATGGTCAGTCAACTGACAAGCAAATCTGTGATATTGAATTGGGATACTTACTGATTTTTTTTCCCCATCCTCTAACTTGTAGGGTCATAGGAACACCACATATACTGCAGCTGCAGTAGAAGTGGTATTTCTTGGGTAAGATAGCCAGTTTTGAATTCAGAGTTTTTCCTTCTCCTAGCCCGGTTGCCACCAACGCTGTAGAACCTAGTCTATTTAGCCATAGCTGGGGGGAGAAGAGGATTCATATCTTTCCCAAGAGTATTAGCATGTAAGTGGATGTAATGGATCCTACTGGAATTTGAACTCCGCTCTCTGATTCCTCAATCCGAGCCACTATACATTACTCCACTGTATGTAGCCCACCTTCTTTCACCAAGACAAAATATGTGCATATTAACATCTCTAATCAATTAAGATCAGAAACCATGAGAGCCATTCCTGGTAGAGCATCAGGGCATTTATTTATTATCATTATTAATAATCCCTTTCATCTTAGCATCAAAGATGTGAAATAGTGAGTTCTGTTCATCTGAACATTAAGTCACTACCTGTAATCTCAAATGTTCAGCACATACCTCAGGGTACTCATGGCTTTGAGCGAGTGAAGCCTATGGATCTTGGCAAAGACTATCATTCTTTGAACATTGTGAAATGATGCAACAGAATCACAAAGATCTGTACCAGATAAAAGAAACCACTTGAGGATTTCCAACAGCGGCAACAACTAAAATGGATATCCCAAGTAATATGAAGAGAAAATAATGATATAATCAAGATGCTGATG